TGACTCGGGCGGGCGCGGTATCATGGCGACGTCGACAACGGCAGACACAATGGTGATAGTAGTGATGCTGGTGGCGATGGTGACAATGACTATGGCAAGGGCAATGGCGGCGCCGATGCTCATCACGTCGATGACGATGATGGTGTCCTCGCGTCGGTGATGAAGGCTGCGATCAGGATTTCGACATGCGCGGGCGGCCGACGCGCGCGAGGGGCCCGCGTGGTATTATTCGACACGGACCGTGCCCCCCCATTGCGCGCGCACGGGCGTTCGAATGATTTCGACATGCGCGCGAGAGAGGCCCGTTTGGTCGTATTGGGTGGAAATTTTGAAAAACCGATGGCTCTCCTAAGAACGCGCAAATTCGCGCGAACCTTTTCTGAACAACCGTGTTGCCAAACCATGTGATTTATGTGCTCGGGATTCTCGATTTTGAAATACTTGCGAGGCCTGCGGATTTTTGACGGATTACGCGCGTGCGCGCTTCGTCTCCTGGATTCGTGCGACAGCACGCGCGCGTGGGCGTTCGAATGCCTTCGGCACGCGCGCGCGCGAGAGGCGCATGTGGTAGAATTTGATGACGTGCTGTGCGTTGGAGGCATTCTATGCTAGAGACGCACTGGTAGGCGCATTTGGAGGCATTCTATGTTTTGCAGACGACTTCATGCATCGCATGCCGTGCAATCCGCGCGCTGGTGCAGTCTAACAGCGGCGACGGGGCGGCGACGACAGCAGAGCTGCCGGGCCACCAGTCAGGCCCAGACGTCGGGCGGCGACGAGGCGGCGGCGGGGCGGCGACGGCGACTGCGTGGCCGCCAGACCGCCAGGAGGCCAGCTGCTTAATTCAGAAGTAAGAGCCCGTGCATGTTAACGCTGTTTTGGGAATCGGCAGGAAAGCAACATGATAAACGAGCCCGTCGGCTCGGTTGCGCGCGCGGGAGCGGCCCCGGGCATTTTTTTTGGCATGTCCCCCCCCGCGCAACTCGGCATCAAAAGTTATGCGATTCAGAAAACTGCTAGGATAAGTGGCAGCGCCGCTTAGACCGACCTGCAACAGAGACGCCGCGCCGTGAACCGTGGCCGGAGAGAGAAAGCGCCAAAGAAAGAGAAAGGGAGGGGTAGAGAGAAAGAGAGAGAGAGAGAGAGAGAGAAGAGAGAGAGAGAGAGAGAGAACAATGCAAACAAACGACAAAAGAGAGAGAGAGAGAGAGAGAGAGAGAAAGAGAGAGAGAGAAGGAGAGAGAAGGAGAGATACAGAGAGAGAGAGAGAGAAATACATATATATATATATAGAGAGAGAGAGAGAGAGAGAGAGAGAGAGAGAGATATATATATATATAGAGAGAGAGAGAGAGAGAGAGAGAGAGAGAGAGAGAGAGAGAGAGGGAGAGAAAAAGAGAGAGGGATAGAGACATAAACAAACATAGAGAGTCTCGCGTGCACCGCGCAGAAGAGTGCTGGTGCCAGCCGCGATGCTGCCTTAAAGGGATCTGCTCAATGTATCCGCGGGCCTCGTCGAGCACTCCAAGAACCGGGGGGGGGGGGGGGGCGCTAGAATGCAGTATATACCGCAGGCAGGCGGTTTTCGCGACAGCCAGAATGTCTGTGGACTTGGCATTGAAACCCGCCTCCTGAGACTTGGTGGCCAGGTTGTGAGAGATTTGCGTGAACCAGCAGTGAGTCGAATAACTCCTTGTCTGAAGCGTTTCATGTGTCTCTAAGCTCGGGGGGTGCATCTGGAAGCGAAAGGAGAGGGGCGAGGCGCGCGTGACCCTGAAAGATAAAGCTGAGTGAGCGAGCCCACGACCGAGCTGGCGCGTGCGCCGAACTCGAAAATCGAATTTCGGGATGATATCCTGCCAGACGTGTTGGTGAGCCTCATAACCAAACGGGGCATTCCAAGTGGCGCGCCCAGCAATCAACGAGGACCGACGAACGGGCTCCCCGAACGAGGCCAGCACATCGAATGTGATGAACTTGCTGAGTTCAACATACCTGACAATCATGCTCCTCTTAAAAATAAGGCGCATATCGGCAATCTCGGCGACCAGCACATTGGCAGACATGACGGGCCCGAGATCCTGCGGCGTTGTGGTGGGGCCAGAGAGGAAATCGCAGGCGCGTGCACAGTTGAAACTCCTATTGATGGCGCGCTGGCTCCGAAACCACCGCAACAAGGGGTTGGTTGCCGGGGCGAGGAGGAACGTCGAAGCAGAGCGTCCCTGATTACCTCCAGAGCATACGTAGGTACTGTCATATTTGCCACCAGCAACGGTGCTTCAAGCTGTGTTATTCGCGTGCATGATCTGGGAGAAACGAATCGCGTGCCCAGGAATGCGCGCGCGCCGCGGGGCGTGAAATCGCTGGCTAGTTGCGACGGGGGAGGCGTGATAGAAGTCGGTGAATAAGAGCGACGCTAGCTCGTCGCCACTCATGTTTCCGAGTGATGCACCGCGGATCAGCGCGATTGGTTAATGTGGCGCGACCTTGGACGCGCGCCTGCTCCTTGCCCATCAACGTGGAGGCGTCTACACCGGGGTGGTGGTGGGTGGGGGGTGGGGGGGGGGGCGTTTGCCGGCGACTAACGTCGGTGTTGCTCATGCTCAGCGGCCTGGTAGCAGACGAGTTGCGGACGAAAAGCGGGCGACCGGGCTGGCCCCGCGAATCAAAGCCCTTGGGGGGAAGGACAAGTAGGCTCCGCCTCGTGTCCTCGAGAAGGGAGAGGACGTCGTTCGAAAAGAACGGGAAATGCACCTCGTGGAGGGCCCGCGCAACATCCTCATTTTCCGGACATCGTAAGGGATGCCATCAGGGCCGCGCATACTATGATGACGTTCCTTCATCAGCTCAAACCAAATCTCGCGCGGTAAATGCCATTCCAGACCCGCGAGGCCCACGGGGGCCTGGGCGAACGGGTTGATCTCTTCCCCGAGGCGAAGGTTCGCCGGTGGGGGCGCCGAAGACATGCCGCCAATGGTCGCGGAGGGCGCCGGCGGAGGCCTCGGCGGGCGAGCGGGGGGCCCCAGACACATCGTGCGCATCGAGCATGTGCGGGTGCCGCGGGGACTTGTGCCTGAGCTCCTGTCGACGGCGGAGGAGAGCAGCCGCGTCGCGCTCGCGATCTTCGTCGGCGCCATTTCTCCGAGCCTCTTTCCTTTCTTTATCGAAAATGTGGGCGAGTAGACCCAGAGGCGCTGGCGGCGGCCGTCGATGTGGATGCGCCCCGGGAGGTCATGCTTTCAATGCGCTTGAATCCTCAAGTAGCATTCAGCAGCTTGGCGGAGCTGCCTCCGTTCGCGTGGTCCGGAAAACCATCCAAGCTTAAAAAAACCATCGAGAGATCCGCGTTGCGGAAGGCCCGGGTGGGTTTTGCGGGCCCGGCCCCCATGTCGCGGAAGGCCCGGCGAAAAGCTTCCTGCGTTGGGGGGCCGCCATGTCGTGGCAGACCCGACGAAAAAGTTCCTGCGTTGGAGTGCCGCCATGTTGCGAAGGGCTCGGCGGGGGCTCCCCCGCGCCGGGGGACCGCCGTGTTGCGGGGGGCCCGGGCGGTCTTTTAAGGCCCCGGCCTCGGAGCCGCCTCGCGTGCCCGAGGCCATGGGCGCGAGGGGCAGCGGGGGGGCGACGGCGCTTATCTAGGAGCGAAGCGGCGAGGCGAGTTCCGGGTGCAGCGCGAGCTGCGGAGGCAGCCTCGGGAGTCAAATTATTGGCGGCCTCGAGCGGACCATCTCGCGGGGGTTTCAGCGCGCAGGCGTCGAGAGGGTCGCGAGTCCAAGTGGGGGCGAAGGCCCGGGCTAAATTCAAGGATGCCGTGAAAGCGGGGGGGCGAAAAACTCGCGCGAGGCCATGGCGGAGGCGCGGCCCCTGGGCGCTCGCGCCTCGAAGGGCCCAAAGTCCCGGCGCGGGTCGTCGCGTCGCGACGGGTGGCAGTGGGGGCGTGCAGCTGCGGTCAATCCTGTAAGTTTCAGGCCCCACTTTGCCCCTTTTTCCCACTGCGGGCGTCCTGCCCCTGGGAGATCTCAGTGATGTGCGGGGAGAGAAAGAGAAAGAGAGAGAGAGAGAGAGAGAGAGAGAGAGAGTGTGTGTGCGATGATCTAGAGTGTGTGCTGCCGCTGGCAGTCCGCCCTCGCCCATCTCCTCGAAATCTACCTTCCTGTTCCAGCGCAGGAATCATTCCTCCAATCGCCGAGCCGTGGGCTGAACGCGACAAGCCGCCAGGTTGGTGAGAGACGCGGAGGGCGCGGGAGAAACTCAGCATGGGGTCCTGTGCATGGGGGAGGTGGGTGTTGTAGATCGCTACTTTACCCTCGGGGCCTAACAGAGTGCTTCTCAATATGCGCCCTGCGATGAGCGTCCTGCGCGAGATCTCGCAGAGACGAGCGGCAAGCTGCGACGAGATAGCGGTCGTGACCCCGCCATCGCGATTGGAATCCCTGAAGACAGAGACGCCGAACCTGTGCGCGCGGTGAGGGCGCGCGAATTTGTTGATGCCACCGATGCGAGTGTATGTCTCCTGTGTCGCTACAATATCGCACCCATGTCTGCATGGTGATAGGTGCGGGCGAGAATCTTTGGGGAGCTCGAATGTTTTGGTAACGGAATGAACGCAACGGCGACTCACAGTTCCACGCGCAAGCCGAGATGGACGGAGAAGGGGCGAATAGCGAGACCGCGTGCCCCGTGGGCTTGAAACGGGGGGGGGGGAGGGGGGGGGGGGCTGCAATCTGATTGGTAGCAGCCAGGGCCGACGTCGAAAGCGACGGCGCGCCTGGGCCTGGGCTGCAGCTTCGAGAGCTGCTGGATGCTGGGCGGCGCCGAATTCTAATCGCATTTTGCGAATGATCTCGGTCGAACTCTCACCGCGATCGTTTGCGGGAAGGTTGGCGGCTGGCTTTGTATCGCGAGGGCCGCGCGCTATGTAGACGCAACCACCAAGCCTGGAGCTTCCGACCTCGAACCCGCGCGGTGTAAGTGCAAGATAATCGGATGGGGGGCTCCTCGACCTGCCCAGGGGGAAGTCGCGCTGGCGACCCTGGAGATCAAGATCGCGTCGGAGCATCAGGAACAACTTTACAATGGGCTGGAGCAGGTCGGGGCGCGCCCGGGGGCCAGCGGTGCGACTGAAACTGTCCAAGAAAGAAGATGCCGCAAGCGCTGGCTCGAAATGAAACGATCGTTTCTGACTCATGTCAAACGCGCGGACCATGATCTTCGACGCCTCGGCGGTGGGGGAGAAGTAGGAGCGGGGCCCATCTCCACTGGCGCGCAAGTCGTTGACCAGCGCGCCGCGCGGGAAACCCGGCGGCGCCAGCTTGCAAGTCTGATCTTGATGAATCAATAGACTGACCATGACCTGCCGTCGGCGAGCTCGGGGGAGTAGACATAGAGAGACTGTCGGCGCATAGTTTCTGAGCAGCACGTTGGCGGTCGAGAAGCTCATGCAGGGTATTTTCGAAGGCGGTGACCTGCTCCTGCGACTTGTCCACATCGCGCATCTCAGCGGCCCCGCAAGGGAGTGTGGTGCGGTCCTTGGAGAGGAACTCCTGGCGCAAATCCTCCATCACATGGTCTGTGGCGTTCAGGGAAGCAGAGGCGGACTGTCGAAGCCCCTTGTGACGGGATTGGTACTCGCGGCCAAGGATGGTTATCTGGTCAGTGAGCTTCGCACAACTTTCCATGGGGGCGGTTTGAGGCACTCTTGATCACGCCCGTGTTCATGCCCTGGTTGGCCACGATCTGGGAGAGCGACGCTGTTGCCAACGGGATTGTCGAGCTCCGTATCCGTAGAGCTACCAGAGTTTGTTCTCGTAGTTAATGCGGAGCGGGCCGCATGCCGACCCAGCGAGTGCGAAAGCGAGCGGCGACGCGAGGAAGAAGGCGAAGGGCGACGGTGTCGGCGACCACTTCGGTTCAGATCTTCGTTGTTGTCATCCACATACCTCGAACGCGCACCCTTGCGGCCCATGGCTTCACCAAGGAGCGGGAAACGGGAAGTACAGAGAGTGGCAAAGAAAGATACGGTACACAAAATGTGCCTGCACGGTGAGGGCAGGGAGCAATGCGTCATTCCTGGCTTTGCAGTCCTCTTCTGGGGCTCCGGGTTGCCAGAGCTGGCCCGGCGCGGCATTGACCTCGGGGGTTGAGTCCGAACGCGTCTTTGAACCGAAACGGCTGCGGAGGCGATGCGGCGCCATCCTCTGGACCTATCGAGCGGTCAGGAGATCGCGCGCAGCACTGGCCTGCCCCGGGCCTTCCAAAGGCGGAGTGAGTGGCTGATCGACCCTGGCCCCACGTGAAAAAACCCACAGCAGGCCAGCTGGTGGTGGGGGAGTGGGCCCTGTGGGCCCGCTCGCTGCGGCGAAGGGCTACTTCTGGTGCGCGGGGCCTGCTTTTATCTCGCGTCTGCTGCCTGCTCCTCCTGCGCCTCATTCTTCCCCCCGGTCAGCCATGGGGTGTGGTCTCCTTGGGTTTGGGGTGGAGCTTCCAGCTCAACCTCGGGCCGTATTCTACGGGGGAACCGACTACAGGATTGATTTGCCCCCGAAATCGACAGTCTTGCCGAACCTACGAACGCTGCACGGAATGCTCCGCAGATCTGCGGAGCGTCCTGTGTGCTTTCTTCGCAGATCCCACGAATCAGACCACTTCTTGAGTCACTCGATCCTGCAGTCTACCTCCTGCTCGGCGACTGGCGGTGTCCCGCAGAAACTGCCCTGCCCCCCAAGCCTGCAGCACCTTCCGCTCACGCCCCCGCCGCTCTCTCGGCGGCGCGGGGGCCCCTCGCCTCCGAGGCGCAGCCGCCCCTCCCCCAAGCATCCTCATTATTACATATGTATGTATGTATGTATGTATGTATGTATGTATGTATGTATGTATGTATGTATGTATGCATGCATGCATGTATGTGTATATAAAATATAACGTTTGTGGTTTCTTTGTTTTTCTGTTTTTTGGTTTCGTTTTGTTTCTTTCTTATCCAATCCGCGGCCCCAGAACTCCCTCCCTTCCTCCAGGGCCTTTTTGGCGGCGCGCACAAAGGGGGCTGCTTTTCAGAAGGCGCCGGCCCTACATCTACAGATAAGGCCCGCGCCTTCTGAGAAGCGGGGGTGCTGCTGAGAAGCCCTCCCCCCTCCCCTTACCCCCCTTCTGCACGTGGCTGATTTTTCGCCCTGGACCAACCTTGATGGTCCCAAGGCCCGATGACGGGCCCAAAGGCCGAAATCGAGGAAAACCGTGGGGGATCTGGGCCCCACCTTCTGATCCTCCTCCTCCTCCGCCTCCTCCTCCTCCTCCTCCGCCTCCTCCTGCGGCACTGCGGGCAAAGCGGTTCTTGTCCGCCGCAGCCCGCGCCGCGCGCGCGCCCGAGCGCGCGGCGCGACGCACGACCCCCTACCTCTGAGATCCTCTGGAGGGGCCTCTGGAGGGGGCCTCAAAGCGCCTCTGGAATCCTGGGCGACCCGCAGACAGGAGAGGGAGGAGCCTCAAGGGCCTCGGAGAAAGGAATGCGGGACCAGGATCCAGGAGCTAGAGGGCGCGCCTAGATTTGTACTAAGCCCGCCGCCCCCCGACCACCACCTCCATAGTGGAGTACGTACTCCTCCCCGCTCGAAAGACGCGGAGGTGGTGGTGGAGGGGGGGGGGACAAATTGTATTATAGGGTTGTGGGTCCCCTCCCCCCAACAGGTGAGAATCAACGCCGGCATGTGGCCCGAGGAAGGAACGGAGGGGGGACCCACAACTTACTGGGGGGGGGGGGGCGCCCACGGGCCCAGGTGTCAGAAGTTGATGGGGATCTCTTCCCCCTCGCGGCCGCCAGCACCCCCAGGTCTGTTCCTGGGGGCTGGCACGCTCACCGCGAGGGGGTGATCACCAACCTGTACTCCGTGGGTTGGTGCTCGCCGTTGTGGTCGCTCGGGAGGCCGCCGTAGTTGCCGAAGCCCCCGCTGTTGTCGCCCAGCTGTCCATCATAGTGCCACTTCTGTGCCTTTGTGTATGCGTCGGCGGTGGTCTGGAGTGTTTGCTCTATGGCCTGCGTCAGTGTCGTTGTCGTGGTGATGTCTGCAGGGCAGTTGCAGGCAGTGAATGCTGTGGTCGGGGTTGTGCTGCACGTCGTTGTGATGTATGCGTATTCCTGTAGCTGCAGGTGTCGGAGGCTGCTGTCCAAGATGATGGTAGGTGTGCGCGTCATCATCATCCGCTGTGCGGTCCGTAAGACGTGCCGCATGCTGTCGTTGTCTTGTCGTACCGCTCTGTGCTGCGTGGGTGTGAGATCCAGTCGTCCCCAAGGTGCCTCTTGCGTCCTGAGGTTGAGGTCGCGGTCGAAGGTCGTGAGGTCGGCGTCGATGATGCAGAAGGCAGCGTGGTCGTATGGTGTCGTGGCCATGTCGGAAGCCGTTGGGTCAGGTTGGGGTGGGTGCTTGGTTGGCAGGTGGTGGAGTTCGATGGAGATGCTGTGTCTGTCTGCGGTGGCTTGGAGGGCGTCGGTCACCGCGCTGGTGTGGTCGTGGTTGGCGGTGAAGAGCAGTACGATGCTGGGCTTTCCTGTGATGTCGGTCATTCCCGTGTCTGCTCGGTTGGGTCCGCTGTCTTGTGTGGTGGGTGCGTCGGTGGGTAGTTGGGCTGGTATTGGTCGGTGGTCGTGGTCGGCGTGGGTTGGTGGTCCCAGTGCTGGCCCATGTAGCTGGATGGGTGGCCGCTCGGCGTAGTCTTCTGGAAGCCCAGCGTGTCGGTTGGATCGTCGTACGCGTCGGGTCTCCTCCTTGTGCGCGTCGATGTCTTCTGTTGGCGGCTTCGCTCCGAACTGCATCAGTGTGGCTGCACATTGGTGTGACGACTTGACGTGTTTGGTAAGTCTGTTCGCGGTGTAGAAGTACTTCAAGCATACCTGGCAGGTGTCGCCGACGATGTAGTTGTCTATGGTGTGCTTGTCCTGGTGGACGGCGTAGACATGCTTGTTGTGTGCTGCTTTGGTCTTGAATGTAGCACCGCAATGGTAACACATAACTCTGGCTGGTGCTGGTGTCGTGGTTCCTGCTTGTCGGGGTAGTGGCAGCACTCCCAGTGCTGTTGCCGTTAGCGATAGGTCTGCCCGCAGCTGGTCCTGCGCTGCTCGGTCGGAGGATGAGTCTTGTGCGCGCTTGTAGGTGCTCGTAATAAAAGACTTGACCGTGTGCATGTCGTTGCGTGCAGCCTTGATGAAGTCGATGATGTCCTTGGGTGCGGTGGTGATGCGGGTGCCGTCGCAGTGCTGTCGGCATGTGTGGATGTCGTTGTTGATGGTTTGCGTCCAGGTGCCGTTGACTTCGATGTCGTAGTCAATGAGTGCCTGCGTTTCGTACGGGCATCCTTTTATGAGTCGCAAAAGTTCTCGCAGTCGTAGCCATCGTAGTCGGTCTTCGAGGTTCGGTAGTTGAGCACGTGCCAATATCTGCTCGTTGGTGATGTGCTTGTCCTTCATGGCCTTGTGCGTAATTCCTATTGCCTGTCGAGCCGCAGTGACGTAGGCTGTGTTGATCCTGTGGTAGTCCCGCGCTGTTGTGATGAGCCATGTCCCCGCGTTAAATAGCAGTCTTGAATAGCCGAAGGACTCGAGGTAGTGGATCTTAGTCTGGATGGAGATGGCTTGTCGTTGGAACAAGGTGCGTCGGAGTGGGCCTGTTGTCTCGCGTAGCGCGATGGTGCGTGCTGCCGTCTCCTGGCCCATGTCGTTCCTGTCGTTGAACATCGCGCCCAGCAGCTTGGTGCTTCTAGCGATGGTGACGCAGAGCCCCATGTCGGTGATGCTGTGGTTGTCCCGTATCATGGTCCGTGTAGCTCTTTTGCCTGCGACGGTGTTGGGGTAGACGATGAAGCTGGACTTCTTGGTGTTGATCGGGAGGCCTCTTCGCAGTGTCGCGCGTATGAGATGTCCCCACATCTTGGTGATGAGTGCGTGGATCATGGTGCCGTCTGCCGTGGATGCAGCCGCCTTGACGTCGTCTACGAAGGATGTAGAGGACAGTGTGGCGTTGTGGTCGCAAGCTCGGAGACATGGTGGGGCATGCGGTATGTCGAAAGTCGCTCCATCCTCGACGGCGTGGTCGTGGTAGTCTCGCGTGACGTCCGCCATGAGCATGTTGAATGTGAAGTCGGCTGTTGGTACGCCAGGGCGTGTACCAAGTCGTGGTGCTGCGTAGCTGCACTGGTCGTCGATGTAGAACCAAGTCCCAGTGTGTGCCTCCGTGAGCATGTCGACAATGTGTTGGTTGTCCACGTGTTGGTTGACAATGCCGTTGTTGGTCATGAGGGCCTCAATCGCGGGAAGCATGACATGTGGGATGTCGATGTGGGCGAGAAGGTCGTCCAGCTGCTCCTTGGTCTGGGTGAAGTTGTACACGAGCTGGTTGACTACCTTGTGGAAGGCTGCTTTCAAGTCTATCATGATGATGACCATGTCGTGCTTCACGTGGTAGGCGGTGTTGGATAGGAGCCGCATCGTCATGTGGTTGATGTCCGTGCTGTAGTGGTGTCGACCTCCCGTCTGAGTGGAGAAGAGCATCGTGGGGATGAGGTCCTTCATGCATTGTCTGATGTATCTGTAGTGGTGCTTGATGACGGTGTTGGCTAACGTGATTGACCGCTGGTTGTTCAGGTCCTCCTCGCTGCCCTTGCCCTTCCAGAAGTACGTCATCCTGGACCC